AGACATGCATAGGCAATGTCTCCCGGAATGACACATTATGACCGACAAGAGTGCATAATACACTCTTGTCGGTCAAATATTGCATTCAAGTATTGAATGATTGCTAACATTCCGGGAGACATGCATAGGCAATGTCTCCCGGAATGACACATTATGACCGACAAGAGTGCATAATACACTCTTGTCGGTCAAATATTTGCAAACGTATTGTGATTGCAAATAATTTTGTCATTCCGGGAGACATGCATAGGCAATGTCTCCCGGAATGACACATTATGACCGACAAGAGTGCATAATACACTCTTGTCGGTCAAATATTTGCAAACGTATTGTGATTGCAAATAATTTTGTCATTCCGGGAGACATGCATAGGCAATGTCTCCCGGAATGACACATTATGACCGACAAGAGTGCATAATACACTCTTGTCGGTCAAATATTTGCAAACGTATTGTGATTGCAAATAATTTTGTCATTCCGGGAGAGACATGCATAGGCAATGTCTCCCGGAATGACACATTATGACCGACAAGAGTGCATAACACACTCTTGTCGGTCAAATATTTGCAAACGTATTGTGATTGCAAATAATTTTGTCATTCCGGGAGACATGCATAGGCAATGTCTCCCGGAATGACACATTATGACCGACAAGAGTGCATAACACTCTTGTCGGTCAAATATTTGCAAACGTATTGTGATTGCAAATAATTTTGTCATTCCGGGAGACATGCATAGGCAATGTCTCCCGGAATGACACATTATGACCGACAAGAGTGCATAACACACTCTTGTCGGTCAAATATTTGCAAACGTATTGTGATTGCAAATAATTTTGTCATTCCGGGAGACATGCATAGGCAATGTCTCCCGGAATGACACATTATGACCGACAAGAGGGCATAATAACACTCTTGTCGGTCAAATATTTGCAAACGTATTGTGATTGCAAATAATTTTGTCATTCCGGGAGACATGCATAGGCAATGTCTCCCGGAATGACACATTATGACCGACAAGAGTGCATAATACACTCTTGTCGGTCAAATATTGCAAACGTATGTGATTGCAAATAATGCTTGTCATTCCGGGAGACATGCATAGGCAATGTCTCCCGGAATGACACATTATGACCGACAAGAGTGCAATAATACACTCTTGTCGGTCAAATTTTGCACACGTATGTGAATTGCAAATTTTTGTCATTCCGGGAGACATGCATAGGCAATGTCTCCCGGAATGACACATTATGACCGACAAGAGTGCATAATACACTCTTGTCGGTCAAATATTTGCAAACGTATTGTGATTGCAAATAATTTTGTCATTCCGGGAGACATGCATAGGCAATGTCTCCCGGAATGACACATTATGACCGACAAGAGTGCATAATACACTCTTGTCGGTCAAATATTTGCAAACGTATTGTGATTGCAAATAATTTTGTCATTCCGGGAGACATGCATAGGCAATGTCTCCCGGAATGACACATTATGACCGACAAGAGTGCATAATACACTCTTGTCGGTCAAATATTTGCAAACGTATTGTGATTGCAAATAATTTTGTCATTCCGGGAGACATGCATAGGCAATGTCTCCCGGAATGACACATTATGACCGACAAGAGTGCATAACACACTCTTGTCGGTCAAATATTTGCAAACGTATTGTGATTGCAAATAATTTTGTCATTCCGGGAGACATGCATAGGCAATGTCTCCCGGAATGACACATTATGACCGACAAGAGTGCATAATACACTCTTGTCGGTCAAATATTTGCAAACGTATTGTGATTGCAAATAATTTTGTCATTCCGGGAGACATGCATAGGCAATGTCTCCCGGAATGACACATTATGACCGACAAGAGTGCATAATACACTCTTGTCGGTCAAATATTTGCAAACGTATTGTGATTGCAAATAATTTTGTCATTCCGGGAGACATGCATAGGCAATGTCTCCCGGAATGACACATTATGACCGACAAGAGTGTGTTATGCACTCTTGTCGGTCAAATATTTGCAAACGTATTGTGATTGCAAATAATTTTGTCATTCCGGGAGACATGCATAGGCAATGTCTCCCGGAATGACACATTATGACCGACAAGAGTGCATAATACACTCTTGTCGGTCAAATTTGCATTCAAGTTATGAATGCGGAACTTGTCATTCCGGGAGACATGCATAGGCAATGTCTCCCGGAATGACACATTATGACCGACAAGAGTGCATAACACACTCTTGTCGGTCAAATATTTGCAAACGTATTGTGATTGCAAATAATTTTGTCATTCCGGGAGACATGCATAGGCAATGTCTCCCGGAATGACACATTATGACCGACAAGAGTGCATAATACACTCTTGTCGGTCAAATATTTGCAAACGTATTGTGATTGCAAATAATTTTGTCATTCCGGGAGACATGCATAGGCAATGTCTCCCGGAATGACACATTATGACCGACAAGAGTGCATAATACACTCTTGTCGGTCAAATTTGCACGTTATGATGCGGAACTTGTCATTCCGGGAGACATGCATAGGCAATGTCTCCCGGAATGACACATTATGACCGACAAGAGTGCATAACACACTCTTGTCGGTCAAATATTTGCAAACGTATTGTGATTGCAAATAATTTTGTCATTCCGGGAGACATGCATAGGCAATGTCTCCCGGAATGACACATTATGACCGACAAGAGTGCATAACACACTCTTGTCGGTCAAATATTTGCAAACGTATTGTGATTGCAAATAATTTTGTCATTCCGGGAGACATGCATAGGCAATGTCTCCCGGAATGACACATTATGACCGACAAGAGTGCATAATACACTCTTGTCGGTCAAATATTCAACGTTATGGATGCAATTTTGTCATTCCGGGAGACATGCATAGGCAATGTCTCCCGGAATGACACATTATGACCGACAAGAGTGCATAACACTCTTGTCGGTCAAATATTTGCAAACGTATTGTGATTGCAAATAATTTTGTCATTCCGGGAGACATGCATAGGCAATGTCTCCCGGAATGACACATTATGACCGACAAGAGTGCATAACACACTCTTGTCGGTCAAATATTTGCAAACGTATTGTGATTGCAAATAATTTTGTCATTCCGGGAGACATGCATAGGCAATGTCTCCCGGAATGACACATTATGACCGACAAGAGTGCATAACACACTCTTGTCGGTCAAATATTTGCAAACGTATTGTGATTGCAAATAATTTTGTCATTCCGGGAGACATGCATAGGCAATGTCTCCCGGAATGACACATTATGACCGACAAGAGTGCATAATACACTCTTGTCGGTCAAATATTCAAGTTATGAATGCGGAACTTGCTATCATTCCGGGAGACATGCATAGGCAATGTCTCCCGGAATGACACATTATGACCGACAAGAGTGCATAACACACTCTTGTCGGTCAAATATTTGCAAACGTATTGTGATTGCAAATAATTTTGTCATTCCGGGAGACATTGCCTATGCATGTCTCCCGGAATGACACATTATGACCGACAAGAGTGCATAATACACTCTTGTCGGTCAAATATTTGCAAACGTATTGTGATTGCAAATAATTTTGTCATTCCGGGAGACATGCATAGGCAATGTCTCCCGGAATGACACATTATGACCGACAAGAGTGCATAACACACTCTTGTCGGTCAAATATTTGCAAACGTATTGTGATTGCAAATAATTTTGTCATTCCGGGAGACATGCATAGGCAATGTCTCCCGAACTGACAAATGCCGATTGACTAAAGTTAATAATAAAAATATCTTGTTTCTATTTTTGTATATCTATACTACTTCTTTTCCTTTTTTTTAACCCAATTTACCTATTTTTTTCCTTTACCTATTTGAGGACATATATTCATATAAAACATTATTTCTATTAAATCCTTAATTTATTTCATCTTAATTTTTTTATTTTACATAAAAAATTTCATTATGCGTTTATCTTATACATTATTTAATATCTTTTTTTTTAATTCAACAAAAAAAATCGAATCGTATTGGCTCGAACCTGTCTACTCTACCATCAAAAATTAATGTAAATTCCAATAAACCAGATTATATAGTTTTTCACAAAGCCAATCCTATATATATGATAACTTTTTTCCAATGGTGATTCCCCCTTATCTGATTCCTTGATGGGATCATATTTCCATAAAAGAATTTTTTTGAATACTTGTTGTAATTATATTGAGATATCATTTTTAATATACTAATAAATCTATTATTTAATTTCTCATAAATAATCATATTTCATGAGAAATTTCTCAAACTCTAAATTTTTTATAAATATTTATTTTTTTTCCTGTTCAATCTGTTTCTCAAAATCCTAAGGTGATTTTTCATGTTCTTATACTAAATCAATATCTATGCAAGTAGTATATTCTATGATTTAAATAACAAGCCAAAATAACCGTAAAAATTTCTTTGGACAGCCTCTAAATTTTGAATAAAAATGCTAATTTGTATTACAGAATGGTTTGATTTTAGTAATATTCCATGTTTCAAGTAATTTTATTTTAAAAACAGAAGAGATTAATTTATATTTTTTCATTCTCTTTGAATAACTCTTCCAAAATAAATATATCAGGTCTTCTAAAAGTTGTTTTACCTTTTGATAAATAAGATAAAGATGAAGATGGACTAACTACTCTTCATTAGACAGAAAGTATTAATGTATTAGAAACTTTAGATTTTCTATACTTAAACATGGCATACATATCAGTGCCAATGATGTTTCTTGGTGAAATTATCTTCAGCATTTTCAACATATTCAAGATATTTTGAGCATCTACCGAAAGAAAAATACACTTGTACAAACAGAGTCTAATAAACATAGCAATAATATATATATATATATATATATATCAATAATTTAGCTATTCAAGATTGAAATAAAAAAAATTAGAAACAAACAAGAATTTAATAAACAAAACAATAATATATAAATATAAATTAGCAATGGTTGCATACCTTTGCGAGAACTGCTGACTGTGGCTTTGCCTTGAATGAAAATCCGAGGAAAGCGAAAGAAGCAAGCTTTGAGAGGCAGGAAGCTGCTCTCAATTCTTCTGGGACAACTGTAAATTCATCGAAATGCTGTGTGTCGAGTGGATCTGTGACTTGTGGCCTCATTGGTGGTTTATTCGCCTGGTAGTTGTTGAAATCAAAGCCTTTGAAGAAAGGATGAGCGATGATTTCGTCAAATCCGATTCTCTGTTCTTTGTCGCAAAGTAATTTTCTGATCAAGTCTAATGCGACAGTTGGAACTCTCTGTGAAGCTGGGATTCTCAGTGACTTCCTCCAGTGAACAATTCTTAACGCGGTTTCTTGCTTGGACTCGCTTGCAAAAGGTGTAAATCCGTAAAGAAATTCGTAAAGAATGACACCGAACGACCACCAATCGCTTTCAACGGAAGGAGCTTCTCCTAATATGACTTCTGGAGCAACGTAATCGATTGTTCCGACAATTGAACTCCTTTGTCTGTGATGTCTGTTATTTGCGGTAGAAACAATCGATGAAGAGTCGATTAAGAGGTCCTGTGAGTTAATAAGGAGATTGTTGTAATCGTTATCGACTTTGTTGTAGGAAGATGCGATGCCAAAATCTGTCAATTTGATGTGGCCATCAGAATTGATCAGAATGTTGTCCGGCTTGACATCTGAATGAACATAGCCAAGTTGGTGGATGTAGTGAAGAGCTAAAACGATTTCTCCGGCAAAAAATCTTGCAACAGGGTATGGGAATGTGTTGATCTTAACTAACGCATTCATTAAGTCACCACCTTGTACGAAATCTAAAAGGAGATATAAATGATCGTTGTCTTGGAAAGATGAATGAAGGTTAACAATCCAATTATTGTTAGCAACTGAAAGAATGTTGCGCTCATTGATAACTGATTGTACTTGGTCGTTTAGAATAACGTCTGCCTTTCTGATGATCTTCAAAGCATAGATTTGGGCATTCTTGTCTGTAACTAACCAGACATCTGCAAAACCACCGCGACCGATAAGTTTGATGTAGTTGAAATTCTCTGGGCGAAGTCTTTGACGTTGTAATCTTGTAAATTGTGAACCTTCTTGATGAAATTCTTGTAATAATTGTTGTTTTTCTTCTTCTGTTGCATTGATACTGTCGAGGGCACGATTTAAGGTAGAAATGTCTTCTTTTCTTTCTTCTAATTGTCTTGCTCTTTGAGTCCATAAGTTTTCTAAGTATCTCTTTGATGCTTCAGCCTTTAAAACAGTTTCACGTGATGGTTCGAAGAAACTAACAGCTAACGCGGTGTTAATATTGCTTCTGCCAGCTCTACGAATTACGCTCATGAAATTTATGAATTGCAGAGATGTTGAGATTTTTGTGAGAAAATGGAAATTTTGGAGATATTATTCTATATATAATTATAATCATAATCTCTTAAAATTATATAAATTTTGCTTTGATTCAGATTTTTCAATGGAGAACTTTCAATGAGTTCCATCAAAAATTTATGATATTTGAAAAATGATCGTAAGAATGATTTCAGACTTTCGTTTTTGTGCTCAAAAATTTCTGATAATATTTCATGAAATCATGATTTCCTTCATATGTACATATATTTTTCTTCAAATATTTTTTATGAAATTAATTGAAAAATTACGATAAATTTTCTCTTGATTTTTTGAGAGAAAATTTATTAATTTGACTCTAAAATACTTGTTTCCACATTTATTTATATAATATATTATATTTTTCAAATAAAAAGAATACATTAAGGTTACGTTTTCAAAACATTCGAATAATCGTAATGAATATTACGAAGGTTCGTAGTTAATATTGCATTAATTAGATTAGTTATTGAACGGAGGTCTGTAATACATGCTCTAATAGCATTTCCAAATTAATCGCTATATATTGCAAGGGTAAATATGGATTGAATTGTCCCGAAGTAAGTTTGCAGGTATTTAATATTGCATCTTGTATCGATAATAACATCTTGTTTAGAATTTATCAGTTCGCTATTATCAAATTTACAAATCTCATTTAAAATAATAGAAGAATTAAAATTTTTAAAAGAAAATCTTAAAGTATCAGTTGTGTTGATGATTATTTTGTAGATAAGATCAAAGATACTCGAATGATAAATTGCATTATTTTAATTTCTCGGCACTAACATATAATTATTGATTTTATTTGTGCCTCTCATAAATGAAAAGGCTAGTGGCAAAATATATTTTGATAAATATTAAATCATTTTTCATGAATTTCAGAACGATGCGCTATTGGGAAATCAATGGAAATTACCATATTACATCATGATTATATTTATTTGATTAGCAAATTGTTTATTCATCTCAATCTTGAATTATTTCGGATTAAATTTATAGGTTTTTAGACATTTTATTATTATACCTGATTAATAAATTCGTGAAGGAATGATTTGCAGTAATTGATCTATTAAAAAATTGATAAAAACGAGTTGAATATAATTTCGATGCTTTGTTCGCGACAGGAATACAAAATAGTCTTTGCTTTAAAATATTTAAAATCATTTGTTTATTTTTTAATATTTCTATTATATTAATTAATACAACTGATAATGTTAAAGAAGGTTTGCTTCTTTTTGAAAGAGATTCTGAAATCACTGCATGTTTTTCAATGTTAGTACTTGTTTAGCATTGAAATTTGACATTGAAAATGAGTCCTCATTAGATTGTGAATCTTCATTCGGTACTGAATAAGAATATTCGCTTGATATTGAATGTTTCTCCTTATTTGACGTTGAATATGAACCTTTAGTTGATTTCGAATAGGAAAGTGATTCAGACAAATCTTCATCTTTGTTTTGTTTCCTTCTCCTTCTTCTTTTAGTCTTCTCCTCAGATTTGCTTGATTCATTGTCTTTGGAATCATTATCAGACATATCATCTGGTTTGCTCTGACTATATGACTTTGTACTTGATTTGCTTTCATCATCATCTTTAGGTTCAACCTTTCTCTTATCTGAATCTTTTTCTTCATCAGAAATTGATTCATCTTTTGGTTCTGTTTTTCTCTTTTCTGTGTCTCTTTCTTCGTCAGAAATTATTTCTTCTTTAGGTTCTTCTTCATGTTTTTCAATATTATTTTGAGGTTTATTCTTATTTTTCTTGTATGAAATCACTACATATATAATATCTGCAATTGATATTACTATGATTCCAACAACGAAAACAATCAGCATAATTGTATCACCGTTTGTTTCAAACTCATCCTCTTTTTGTTGAATTCGATAACTTCTTCCATTGTATGACCTCCACCACTTGATGGTAATCTCAAAAACAAATCCTTCTCAAAGAAATCTTCTTCAGATTCTTCATCTTCACTAGATTCTTTATCTGCTGATATTTCAATCTTAACTTTAGAGTTAATATTGAGTGTTGAGATATTTACTTCTCCATTGAGTTTTAGCAAATCATAGTATGGGTAAATGCAAACTGTTGGATCTGATGCTTCATTTTGAGTGATATTTTTTGCTGTTGTAATAAAATTATTGATTTTTTCATTATCTGTAGTAACATTAACATTTAATTTGTTCTTATTGTGAGCAGTGATTGAAAATAGCTGGATTTCATTTTCATTGATTTTAACATCTTTTTCAAGAGACAAATTTGTTTTTGTTGTAAAGATTGACTCTAATTTCATTGGTGTATGAATAAATCTTCTTTTAACAGGTGGTAAAAAGTTGCAGCTTGTATCTTACATGATTCTGTTTTAGATTTGCACTCCAATTTTATCAGTTGATTTGTTCTTTCTTCAGTAGTATCTGTTGTTATACTAAATGGATTTTCATACTTATTTATAATTACTTTTGGTTCATTTTTATATGTTTGTGTACTGTAATGTTTTGTGCTTAAGAATTCTGTTGTAGCAACAAAATTTTCTTTGCTTGCAAATACAAAATTGCCAAGCATACATTTACATTCACCTGGAGGTATTGTAAATATTTTTGATTGAGAATATCTCATCCCAACTTCATAGTTTGCGAAATCAGGATACCATATTCCATTCTTTACGCAGTCAACTGTTTCGTTTGTCAGAATGTATGGATCAGGCTTCGAAGCATTGTAAAATGGATCATTTAATTTTGTAAACTCTTCTACTTCATCTTTTGAATAGATACCAGGTTCAAAAGGCAAAACCCAATATTTGTCAAGTTCAAAATAGCATTCCAAAGTTTGATTGTGAGGATCTAGCGTATATACACTAAAATATCCAAAATCATTATACGTAATTAATTCAGGATCATTTATCGATCTGATCTAAACCCAAATCTGAGAATAGAGGAGTTTGTATAATCATCAAGTCCTCTACTAATTAAATATCCATTAAATGCATATACATCCATAGATTTACTATATTCGAGACCTCTTTCTGTTATATTTATATAATGCGATATAAAAGATTTTGCTATATATCGATGAGTTGTAAAAACACAATAGTTAATATCGTTAAAATTAATACCTCTAGGAGTACAGTCGTCCGTTCTTTGGATTGTAAATGGTTCCGAAGCATTTTTAGCTGAAATTTTTATAATCATTGGTTTACTTTCATCAGAAACAATGGATTATCAACATGATTTATATTGTTGAATTCAGATTGATTTAAAAATATATAATCTCCCTGTATCGATACGTTTGAAGCTACAAAGTATGAACCTTTCATGCAATAAGAATTCCCTGCTGGAATCTCATAAAATGAGATATATTCGTATGCAGGTTCTCCATATATGCAATCATATGTGAATTCTTCATAAGTAATGAATGATCTAATTGTTTGAAAAAGGAAATATATCATAATTCTTTTTTTTTCAAAAAAAAAAACGATATAAGATTGAATGGCACTTAGAATGTATACATTGCATGTTCCGAAACACAATTCCTCCTAATGAAAGAATCTTCTTTCAATTCTTACGAAATGTTATTATTATAATAATCCAATCCTAATAAAGTGTATAAATTTTGAAATTTGGCCAAACTTTATATTACATATTCAATATTTTAACTTTTTCAAAGAATTTAATTTTTCAATATATGCCCAGAATTAATATTAATAAATAAACTTGATTTTCATATAGGTAAATCATTAAAAAAATATTTACACTCCCTCTCAAAAATTGAGAAAATGCAGATGCTTGAAAATCAAAAATATGAAATCAAGTTTGCACTACATGTCCTGAAACACAATTCCTCCCGATGTAAAAACCTTCTTTCAATTCTTACGAAATTTTGAAATGCCCCGAGTCATTTATTATAATTATATCATAATAATCTGTATAAATTTCGAAATTTGGCCTAACTTTGTATGGCAAATTCAAAATTTTAAGGGTCATTATTGATTTTGTAATTTAATCATCGTCGTTATCGATTTTGTAATTTAATCGTTATCGTCTTTTTCTAAACGTGCATTTTTTGCTTTCGGAGCTATTGAACATACATTGGCCCTTACCAGCAATTGAAAACTATTTTTCATTATCAACAATTACATTACTCCGAGTTATTCATCAATCAATGAAAATCGATATATAGTCCATACTTCAATTTACAATATTGGCAAGTCCAATTTCACTTGGCATATTTAACTCATATAGAAAAACCAGTTGGAATCGGCAAAATTATCTTTAATTCCATACATAAGAAAAAAAAATTATAAAGTTCTTCAATAATAGCAAACTAATAGTTTAAATAGATTTACAAGTATCGCCCATCTACTTTTGATATAATTCACATATTAAATGTAGAAAACTGGTTTAAAATAAAGATTTCAAAAGTTCGAAAACGATTTATGAAAAAATAACTTGATGACATTTACTAAATTTGCTCTGTATTAAAGTATCGATGATAGAAAGAGCATATTTTGTAAATATTTCAAAAATATTTAAAAGTCGGAGAAATTGTATTGTAATGTACTATAATTATGTTACAAATCCGATTCAATACTAATCCTTCGCTATTGAAGTTGTTTTGAGAAGGATATTCTCTAAATTCTTGATAAATCTTTAAAATCTAGAGTAATCGTTTTGTAAACTTAACAAAACTAAAATGTATACCAATAGATTGGCATTTTCTACATTTTCAAAGTGAGAGAGTGTAAATTCTTTTTTTTATCCTATTAAGGTTTTTAAAAAATTTAATTAACTTAATTTATATGATCTGAAATATATGACAAGTTAATATGGAGAATTCTTTCAACCCAATTTCAATTTATTGAATTTTCTATTCGAATTCAAAAATTTTCCCAAGAAGAAAAAATAATTAGGAAATTTAATATGTTAATACATAAAATATTTTATTTATTCAAAGAATTCAATTTTCTATTGGATCAAAAAACTTGTGTTAAAGTTCGTATTTTAAGATAACTATACTTTTAGAAGCTGTTTTTATTTTTTTCACCGGGATTGTATTAAGGGTATAGTCCACTAAAAATTTTTAAGTTTTGACAATGAAAATAAGCTCTGTGACCATGTAAATATATATCTATGCAAAACGAGAGGTTATGCCATAATTTTTTTTAGTTATCAAATTTTCCTTTTTTTGAGAGAAGTCTCTCAATAATTTGAGAAGAATGTTTGATATAAAGAGATACACATTTGTAGAACGAAGTAAGTGTTTTCCAAACATTTTATATGTTCATCCTGTATAACAATATAAAGCTGCATAGTGCCATCTTGTGCGTTTGCTATTTTATGCACTTTTCATTGAGATAATCCCTCTTCTCGGGTGATTTTAACAGTCAACTCAATTTTAAAATAAAGATTTCATCAAAATGATTTCGAAATTCGGATATTGATTATATAAATAGCACTGTTAACATATTTTGGATGAGTAAAAAATACCTTGTTTTGTATGCATTTAGTACACCTTTATTTTTGATTAAAACTGTAAAATTTTTATTCCTTATATAATAAATAGTATATGTTACATAAACATGAAATTCAAAAGCATTCAATTTTGGATTTTTTAGATTTGGTAAATTTTAGAAGAAATAAAATCAGCAATCAAAATAAAGAAACTTTTTTTGTATCTTCTATGATTACCTTTTGGTACAAAATTTTGCATTAATAAGTAAATTATCTGTATTATTCTGTGAGCACAAGCCCTCAGTTATGCTGGCAGTGAATGATGAATCGTCATTTTGCGAAGAGAACGCGATTATTAAGGTAATTTTGAGAATTGTCTTGAATTATTTAAAATTAAAGTTAATTGAATAGGTAGGATAACTAGCCTTTGCTAAATTTGTATAATTTGACCTTATTCTAGTTGGATCTGAGAATATTTTGCTGAAATAATAAATTATATCGCCGATTTATGAAAATTTCTCTGATGGGACCGACTCGCTGAAACGATTAGTGTTAATGGTAACTTGTCTGAATTTTCAAATTTTTTTCGAAATCCAAAAAATCACAAACAAAAGCATCAAAATTAGATTTGCATTTAAGGTTTCATTTTTTTTGGAAAATAAAAATATTTTTTCCCCAATAAAGTTTATTTTTACTTTTGAGAGGAATAGAAACGTTATTTTGGAATTTTGAAACGACAGAAATGTTCCATTTTTTAATTTTTGATTGAACCGTTATCCATTGAAAAACCTCGATTTTAAAATGTTATTCCAAAATATTCATCTAATGATATAGTATATATTTATTAATTATTACTTTTTATTCAATTTTCACTTTTGGCGGGATTTCATTTTTTTGTTGTTGTATGGGCCATATTGTTCACCCAAAACGGAAAACAAAGGCAATGCATAACATTTTACTCCACGAACGTCGTCGACTCTCAGCGCGACAGATGCTTGGTGCTTGCATAATGACCGGAATGCCATATACAAAAGGTGCTCGCTTTCTTTCTCTTTGTGGAACTAAGCCCCCTGTGAAGAGTGGTGTCATGAGACAACAGAGATTTTGTGACGATAAGATTAGAAGACTTAAAAGTATTTCCCTAATGCTGTCGAGAAAGTCCTTCAGTGGTTACTTATCCATTGATGCAAGATGGACGCACAGGCGAAACTCGCCAAGTTGTACAGTAACTGCGCTCGATGCTGTCACAAAAAGAGTTCTTGCATGCGTGAACATCAACCATATTGGTGGAAACAGACAGCATGCTCAGTATTCCGGAGCTTCCAACAATATGGAAAGTGCTGGAACTCGAATCATCTTGAAGCAATTAAAGAAATACAATATCTTGAAAGATGTTAAAGAGATTATTAAAGACCGAGATAACAAAAGTGTCTCTGTCTTTAAAGAATTTGGCGTCTCTCATCTTGAAAGATTCGATCCAGGTCATGTATCAAAAAATATCTCAAAAGATTTTACAAAGTTCTCAGCTTCTCATAAGACAGTTGAAGTTTTCAACGACAAGACTCAGAAGATTGAAAAAATAGAGAGACCTTTCTGGGGTCTGAATGCAAGCCTAAGTATGTGGCTTTGGTCATGTTTTGCCGAAGAAAATATTGACAAACGTACGAAAATGTGGGAGAATTGTGTCTACCATTACGTAGGCAATCATTCTTTTTGCGAACCGCACAATTACAAATGCTTTGAATGGCAAAAAGGTGTCAATTCGATCCAACTTCAATTCATGCTCTATGACTGGGTTCACAAATGGACACCCATAGTTTCCAAAGTTTCTTCCATTGGATCTACCTGCATGAATGAAGCGTTTAACTCCAAAATTGCATGCTATTTGGACAAATCAAGAGCCTGGAAGAACATTAACATTAGAGTTAACGTTGCAATCTTAGAATGGAATGATCCAGAGCATTTTCTCGGAGATATACAAAAAGCATTACATCTTCCCCCACTTCCAGAAGATTGTGTCAAATCATTTGAAGAGAATTGTTACTCCAAAATGATATTGAAACAAAAAACTGTTACAAAAGGTTCTAAAAAACAGAACAAATACAAAAAATCCATTCAGAGTGTACCAGGAGGAGATTATCAAGTTTTCAAGTCCGAATGGGAATCAGAAGACGAAGACATTGATGACTTTGATTAACGAAAATTACATTTTATTTAATGTTTTTGTTTTTAATTAAATTATTATTATGCTCATTTTCTTATTATGATTTTTTCTCATTATGATATAAATAATTTATTAATGCATTTATCCAATAATTATGCTATGATATTTTTATGCCTTATTTCATTTCTCTTATATTTGATAATCTGGTAAAATATAGTTCAGACTATAATCATTTTAGATTATTGATATATTTATATATGTTAGAATAAAATTAGTTTCATTTTCTACTTTTATTTTGAATTAATAATTTATAATATCAAATATTATGGCGTAACCTCTCCTTTAAAATATATATATATATAGGCCTATAGAGTTTATTGGCACTCTCAAAACTCTAGAATTTTGAGTTTACTATACCCTTAATTTTGCAAATTACCTCAGACTTTTCAGAGGATTGAGTTGCCACTCAATCCTCTGAAATAGTCTGTGTTAATTTTTAGTCTCTACACTATTTCAATATAAGCTCCATTTTTAAACAGTTTTTAAAAATCGAGCATTGAAAAGTGTGATGAGACTTAATTCTTTCAAAATTTGAATCTTATTGTATATCACCGGACTATGATCATAATAGAGTTGCAATCTCTAATTATAGCCACATTAGTACTCGTGGGTCGATATATCATGGGAGATACAAAATTATTTGAATTTTCTTTTATTTTTTTAAAAAATATTAAAAAAAGTAAATAAATAACTAACAACACAGCATCACTTTTCGTAAAATGCTTTAATCCTAGTCCTTTTTCCCCTTAATTTTTCAATCTCTCCCAGGTTGAAATTTATTCCGGGAATTTTTAAAGATGCTTGGTCAACATAAAATTTCATTAAATCTTCCACAGGAGTCATAAACTCTGAACATTTGAAGCGAGCATGAACTGCATCATTCAAATTTTTAAGAAGATTTTTGTTCGAAAAGTGATTCAATACGGCGATTACATGAATACAAGGTAATCCGTATAATTCGATGTGCTTACATGTGCATGAATATTGTGAATCTGACATAATTTTTACGCAATATGTATAGCGACCAAAAGTTGCATAATATAATTCTTGAATTGGATCATATAATACCGAGCTAAACATATCTGAATGTTTCAAAGTTTCATTTAGATTTTTGATAATATTATCTGATTTAAAATCACCTGTTAAAACATTTTTAACAAGATTGAATTCATGTTCAATGAGACGGAGAATTAGTTCGGCGGGTTCATATGTATCCCATTTATCTTTAATTTCGGCATTAAGGGATTCAATAAGAGATGTTGTGAGTATGCCAGCGGTGTAGTCAGCGAATCCTTCAAATGGGTTAATACTATCTAAGTACTTAAAGAGATCCTGATTATTTTTGCGGTTTGGATATTCCTCTTGTAAACGAGTTTCTAACTTTTTAATCAAGTCAATTCGTTTTTGAGGATGGTCTGCGTAAGCGACTTCAACAATTTCGGAATAGACATTGATGTATTCCCTTTTTGTTGCAAAATGACGTAAGCAAAATTTATGATCGCAAGAAAAGCCTGATTCTCTAACAGCAGCTATAATTGCCGGACCTTGATCGGAATAAATATTCTTGAATCTGCTTGGTGGAATAAAAGATTTCAATTTAGTGAGCATATCCTTAATTGTTATCGTATTTTCACTAACAGACCATGCAAATGCAATAGGGATAAGTCTATTATTTGGTGCAGGTGTACCAATAATGAGTAAGTTTCCTTTTTTAATACAAAATAAAAACGTTCCATCAATTTGAATTATTCCGCAAAAAGCTTGTGTTTGCATGTAAAAATGAGTTATTGGAGGAATTACAATAAATGAATAAATTTGAAAGTCTTTTGAATTTTCAGGTAATTCATCACCTTTCTTAAATGTATGCAATTCAATTTCATTGTTAACTTCTTTAACTAAAATCATTTCGCAGAATCCTTGTTCGATTTTGTTTATGATTGAAAAAATTGTTGAGAAATAATTGTAAGATTGAATTCTATCCCCTTTTGTGGTTCCTTTAAGTTTATTTACTATATTATGGAACATCGTATAAGTTGCATTGGGAATATTCAATTCTTTTGCAAAAATTTCTTTGCATTGAGGAACATTATCAGAATTTGCTAATTCATAGACTTTTTTTCCTGCTTGCAACTTAAGAATTTTTGGTATATTGTTACTCGGCTTGCATTGCTTTGTTCTATGCTCGTGTTTAATTACTGGAATGAAGAAAAGTTGACCATTTTCATGAGTCTTTACAAGCTCCATGCAAAATTGGCAGTTAGGACAACGAAACTTTTTTCCTTGCTCAAAATTTAATGGATAAAAAGAATTATATGAATCTTTTGCAATAAATATAGCAGCTTCTGTAGGATCTGTAAATTTTAATTTGCTATATCTTTCCTTGAGATTTGGAATTGGGGGATTTTCAGGTATTTCCATTCTATATTTCAATTTTTTACGGGAATTCAATTCATTTTGAATTAAATCCAGCATATCAGCTTCATCTCCTGAGAAAGGGACAGACTAGCCCATTGTCACTTTTTAATTTAGCAAATGAACGCTTATGGAGTGGAGTTTTTGGGTAAATCTGATTTGCTTATAAATGAAATAAAATCAAAAGAAACCATATTGGCATTATATTATGCAAAAATAAATGATCTTACTTAGTACTTTTAAAGTTAATTTCAGAAAAAATTTGACACAATGGTATCCGGCACATACAAGTGGTGTACAACCAAAATATAAGTTGGTTTAAACATATATTGCTATATCTCATGATCTTACTTAGTACTTTTAAAGTTAATTTCAGAAAAAATTTGACACAATGGTATCCGGCACATACAAGTGGTGTACAACCAAAATATAAGTTGGTTTAAACATATATTGCTATATCTCATGATCTTACTTAGTACTTTTAAAGTTAATTTCAGAAAAAATTTGACACAATGGTATCCGGCACATACAAGTGGTGTACAACCAAAATATAAGTTGGTTTAAACATATATTGCTATATCTCATGATCTTACTTAGTACTTTTAAAGTTAATTTCAGAAAAAATTTGACACAATGGTATCCGGCACATACAAGTGGTGTACAACCAAAATATAAGTTGGTTTAAACATATATTGCTATATCTCATGATCTTACTTAGTACTTTTAAAGTTAATTTCAGAAAAAATTTGACACAATGGTATCCGGCACATACAAGTGGTGTACAACCAAAATATAAGTTGGTTTAAACATATATTGCTATATCTCATGATCTTACTTAGTACTTTTAAAGTTAATTTCAGAAAAAATTTGACACAATGGTATCCGGCACATACAAGTGGTGTACAACCAAAATATAAGTTGGTTTAAACATATATTGCTATATCTCATGATCTTACTTAGTACTTTTAAAGTTAATTTCAGAAAAAATTTGACACAATGGTATCCGGCACATACAAGTGGTGTACAACCAAAATATAAGTTGGTTTAAACATATATTGCTATATCTCATGATCTTACTTAGTACTTTTAAAGTTAATTTCAGAAAAAATTTGACACAATGGTATCCGGCACATACAAGTGGTGTACAACCAAAATATAAGTTGGTTTAAACATATATTGCTATATCTCATGATCTTACTTAGTACTTTTAAAGTTAATTTCAGAAAATAATGAAAATTACAAGTTTAAGGTTAATGAAAAGTGACAATGGGCGAGTTTGTCCCCCACTCTCCATCTCCTTTTTCTTCATCAACAATAGCTTGGATGGATACTGATATAGTTTGATTCTCTTCCACTATTGTCGGTTCGCTTTCCGACATGAGATAAAATTGAAGGTTTAACGTACTTTTGATACTCTGAGTTAAAAAAGATTTTCTTAACATAATTTGATTTATTGGTCCTTAAAAAATTCTGATTCAAAATTGAATTGAATCGAACGAGTTTTCCTTTTGAGTCATTTCAAATATTCATGAGAAAGAAAAAAATTCTAGCAATTTCAAATATTTTTGATTTGATTGAATTCAAAAGTGTCACAAATATTCAATGAGAAAGAGAAAAGAGATCGAATATGTTGTTTCTGAGCGAATAGTCAAGCAATATTTCGTTAAGTACAAAGATCAGCATCCGGAAAAAATAAATGGGTATATCAAAATGAGATTCCGCAAGAAATAGTTGAAAAATATCTAGAAACGAAGAAAACAGAAAATATTGATGAAATGTTACGCTGTACTCGAATTGTTCATGTTGTTGATCAAGATAAAAAAGAATTTTATCTTGAATTTTCAAAAAAAAAATCAAATTCATCACATATTAAACAAGAATCTAGATGAAGAACATCAAAAGGCTTATATAGATTATCTTGAAAGTTTACTCAAACTTGAAATAAAAAATAAAAATTAAATTAAATTAACCCTCGTTAGGATATCGTTGCAAATAAAGATCTGTTTCTCAGAAAGATCCTGATTTTCTGATAAATATTCTGTTGTAACTTCTACAAGGTTTAAGATATGAAAAACATTTTTGAATATTTCATCGCTATCAAATCTGCGGAAACATCTGGAATATAATTTCAAATATTTGTGAAGATTTGAATTCTCAATTGCATAATTAATTAAAAATTCATGTGAATTTAAAAAATCGGTAGATTAAATTTGCATGGGTATAAGAGGAAGTACACAATAATACCCCTGAACTACATACTCTGTAAATGAATAGTGAGGAGAAAGACTTCGCAGAATTTCAAGTGTTTTTATGAATTCTAAAGCCATCTCAGATGTTATATCGACTGCTTTATAAAATAAAACTATAAATTTGAGAAGATAAACAAAATCTTCGTTATTTATAATTGAATTCACGTCATTAAAAAAGTTGAAATAATTTGATATTAGTATATCCGAACATGGAAGAGCAGTTGCATATCCTGGGTAATATTTTAATAATTTTGTAAAGAAATTTGCAATTGCATAAGTTGAATATTGATTTTCGTACTCAATAATACTAGAAAAAATTTCTTTCTTGAGTAAAACTGCGTTTTGGAAGAATTCAACGTCAAGAATATTGTTTTTAATCAAAGCAATAAATGTATCGATGATATAGAGAGAATTGTCACTGCTGCTTATGAAACGTAATATCTCATCATATTGATCGGAAAATGTTGATAAATAAAGGTATTGTATGTTATCTAAAGCTTTAAAATGAATTAATTTTAATGAAAAAATGAAAAAAATCTGGTTAATATAATGCGATAAATATTCGAATAAATTTTCCAGTAGTATCAAATCTATTTGAAAGATATTCGAAGAAGTGATATTTTGAATTGTGAATTTTAATATTGTTTCATTTTGTGTAGATTGCTCGATAATGAAATGTATCAAAAGATTCATTGAATATGAGTCAATGGAAAAGCTTAAATCCTTAGGGATATCCAAAATAAATCTTAATAAAGAAGATTCGTCTTGAAAATTAGCTTCCGAAAGTTCTATTTCAGTCGGAGCTGGAAGATTCCGATCATTTATGAATCTCGAAACGACAGAAAATTTGTATTGTTTATATTTCATTATTCGAAATGATAAACTTCAAAATCTAAAATTTATTTTTTTACAATATATTTCATCCTATTGTCAAGGCTAAATTTTTCACCGGAAGTGTATCAAAAATTGATAAGATTTACGGTGATCTAATTATGACAATTCAATGCATCTCGTGATATAACGCAGATATAAACACAACTGATATTGCATAACTAATAATTGAGTCAAATAACTAAATTATGTGTTATATTTTACATATATTTCTTCAATTTTGTAATAAATGGATGTTTAACACTAATTTTTTAAGGACTTCGACTTTAGCATCACATAAATATGTTATTTTCTATATTAAAACGTAATTTTGGTGGTCTTAGAATAGAAAAATATGCAATATTCGTGGAGATAATGAGGGTTCTTAAACATGTTCTTAAAAATAAATAAAATAATACAAATCTTTATTCAATCTTTTGATATTGTTGGTCCTCTCTTTGTGAAAATACTTAACTTCAAAGAGTATTATGTTTTACCTAGTGAGGACCTTAAGTTTGCAAAAACATAATAAAAGTAAAATAAAAAAGATCGGATTTATCACAAAACTTTGAGTATTATAGGATTTAATATATTTTCTTAGTAGATTATATGATTTAGTTTCTTAAAATCTAAAGTATTTCTTGAGGAAAATATAAATTGAAATTCAAAAAGTAAAAAAAATGTAAACAAATCAAATTTTAAATGGACCAAATGTTGATTTTTCATTCGTTTTCTCATTATCGAAAAAAATTTGGAAAGCTAAGAAGTCAATAACAAGTTATATAATACAACAAAACCCACATCGGATATGTTTTCATCAAATAGTCTCCTAGATTTGTTATGAAATTAAAATATCATGATATTTTAAGGGCTTTTGATTTCAATATTAGAATTATTCAGTTATGTCGTGCTAATATCAATTGCTTTATACAATTAATCGTTTACAAGCTGCAAAAATCGAACAATAATTTGACTTTGTAAAAAAAGTGCGTCATTTTTATTCGTTATACTTACAAAATGTAAACATTACGAGAAACATTTACATTTGTAAATGTAACAAGTAAATACATCAGATTTAAATTGTAAATGTAGTTTATCTCTCTCATCTCCTTTTTAAAAGATATTACATACATACGAACGCATGGGTAACTCAATAATTAGCATGATAATAATTGAGGATAGACTGTAATCGTAATTTTATTTTTGGACTTATATTTCGACATTTTGAAGTCGCTTGAAAGTCTTGCAAATGATTAAATTTGGAAAATTTGACCTAAGTCTGCATTATTTTGATGACTTAAACAATTCTATAAATCTGTTTTCCTAAAAATTTAAAAAGATATAATTTCAATTTCCCTAAATTTATGTAATTCATATATCACCAAAATATTTAGACTGCATTTCGTTTGTCTGCACCTAATTAAAGTCTAAATACCAATTAATTTTGGAGTTGCATTGCTTTTAATGTAAAAATGCACGTTTAGAAAAAGACGATAACAATTAAATTACAAAATCGATAACGACGACGATTAAATTACAAAATCGATAACCTCTCAAATTTTAACTTTTCAATGAATCAAATTTTAATACCCATCAATTTTTCTAATTCACAGAAATTAAAAATAGGCCTATTAAAATTGATGCAATAAATATAAGTTTCATGGCATGAGCATTAATCATGTAAATTGAATTTGAAACAAATAAATAAGCAAACAAAAAAGCTAATAACATTTTAAGTCAACTTAATCATATTGAATTTTTTTTTAGAGAATGGGAAATCTGAGTAATACAAATGCCATTATATCATTAATTACATTTTTCCAAAACATTGGATCAGCAATTGATTTCTCCAAATTTCCAGTAACTGCAAAAGTTAAAGAATGGGCAGGATCATTAAAAAATTTCCTTAATTTACTTCAAAATAAAACAATTGGTTACTTGAATTCTCACGACTTCAGACTCATTATGGCAGTAATTGTTTTTAGCATATCAATAATTACTTTTATTCCATCATTCCTTCAAGGAATTCGCTTTAGACATTTGATAATACGTTATTTTATTTATTTTATGGTTGTTGTATTATGTTCTCTAATTACTATGTTAAATGTACCTCTTCTTGTCAAGATATTGGTGCCTATCATAGTGCCATATTTGGCCTTTTTGATGAGATTCATATGTTGTAGATGCTATAAAAATATGTTTGATGATCTCAAATTTGCCCCATCAGAAGAACAATTCACCATGCAAAAAACTATCATCACAACCGAAATGGATCCAGAAGAATATCTAAAAACAGTGAGAGAGAGCATTACGGTCAAAAAACCAATTCTTTGGATCGATATTATCAAAACATTAATTGGTATTGGATTATTTGTTTGCGCATACTATGGTCGAAACTTAATATATGTCTATCCTGATTGTGCTTTCTTTGGATCGTACTTATTTATTTCTGGTTTCACTGGCCTTTTCCAATGCATTAGAAATATTAAATACAAAGTAAAAGCAATTTTCAAGAAGCATGCATTCACTGTCTTCACGTTGTGTTTGGATATTTTCTATATTCCTATTTTGACATATTTCTTGCAAATGATGTTATTTACACATGTTCAATGTCCTGCAGGTTATTTCTGGGGTGCATCTAAAGCAGATTATTTGGCTAAAGGCCAAGGTTATTGTATGCCATGTGCTAATACATTAGAAGGTAGATATCCTGGTTATTCTGGATTTTTTAATAATAATAATAATTATACTCAATCCCATTATGATGAATTCAAATCAAGGAATCCTGGAATATACAATGAAAAAATATATACAATTAATAAAACAACTGCTCGAATATCCGAATATTGTACAATGATGTATTCAGGAAATCCAATTCGTGTTCTTAGATCAGATAATGCAATTTATTTTGATATTGAAATTTTGCAAAATAATCTATTATTTTTGTTTTGGGCTATCCAATTTATCATGATAGGAACTCCTGTTTTGTATTTTCTATTTATATATAGAGCCAGAAAACAACCTAAAACAATTGCTGCTTACGGGGAAACAGAAGAATATAGATGGCATGTCTTAATGAACAGAGTTGAAACTGTTGGTGCCAAGTATTGCAAAGATTTAACAGAAAACAATGCTTATTGGTCATGTTTAAAGATCATATACAAATTCTTTGTTCTTCTTGTGACAACATTTGCAGAATTCTCCCACAAGAGTATAATCATTTGCCTTCCAATGCATATTTTAATGTTGGTTACAACTTTAATAAGGAAGCCATATTTCTCGTTCCTTAACAACTTAATCGATATGATTTTATATGGAATTAACGCTTTTGTCGGATTTATGGCATTTATCATTGTTTATGCAACAATTCCACCCAAAGTTAATTCCGGATTTGTTGTGACAGCAGATATTATCGGTGTTGCAGCAACAATTGGTGTAATGATTGCAAATATACTTGATAAAAAGAAACTTGTTGATCCAACAAGACTCACTGATAATGATGAAAAAAGACTTAAATTACAGAAAGAAAAAGAAAATGCAGAGAAGAAAAAGAAAGAAGGTAAAGAAAAGGCCAATAAGGATAAAAAAGGAAAGAAGAAGAAAGATAATGGAAAGAAGAAGAATTCTAAAAGAAGGCATCCCAACAAGAAAGCTGATGATTTATTAGATTACTCAGATTATGATGAATATGATGAAAATGACAACACTAAATCAAAGAGAAAAAGAGGAAGCGAAGATGATATGAGTGATTTGAGTGAAAGTGAAGAAAAAATGCAAGAAAAATCTGAGAGTTTGGATGATAAAAGGAAAGAAAAGAAGAAAGATTTGTCAGATAATGTCAACGAAGACGAATTATCTGATTTAGAAAATGTCCAAGAATCTGATTATTACGAGAGTGAAAAAGATGAATCAAAATCTGATAAAGATAAAAAGAAACCTGAAAAAATAAAGGATAAAAAGAAATCAACAACAGACGAAGAATCAGAGAAAGATAAAGATAAAAATATATCAAAGTCAGATGAAGAATCTGAGAAAGATAAAGATAAAAAGAAATCTAAAAAAGAAAAGGATGAAAAGGAATCAAAATCCGAGAAAGATGGCAAAAAATCAAAGAAAGATAAAAAGAATAAGAAGGATTCGTTAGAAGATGATCCAGATGTTGGTCCAATTCAAATTTCAAAGGATTTGATCAAATCAATCGATGGAACACATGACATTTTAGATGAAGATATTAACATGGAAAGAATGGTACTCAGACAGAGATTCAACCTCCTTTACCAAGTCTACGATTTGATGATCAATGATGTTGAATTTTCAATTTTGGCTAGATTTTTAAGATTCATGTGCATAATTGGAATTATTGTAGCATTACCTTTCTTCTTTAATGACTCATTTCAATATAACAATTGCCAAATATTTAATTTTGATTATAACAAAGTGTACTTACCATTTTCTCCCGATACCCATGAAGAAGATAAATTTGACATTTTCGACACTTTGAGATAACCCAATAAATAACTTTATGAAAATGCCAAGATTACAAGAAACTTTTTTTTGAGTTCGAACTTCCGACAAAGAGAATGAGATATCATTGAAAATTAATCATAGGGAAACTCTAACTCCTGTCAATTGTTTTATGGTTAGATTTCCTCCATAAATTAAAAAGCACAAATAGTAATAAATTCAGAGCGTCAAGTTGGCGTAAGTGTCCTTTTAAGTGATTCATGAACTCATCATAACCCATTAATTTATGAAATAATAACATTCCATTAACAATATACTGTTAAATAAATTGATATGACGTCAAAAATCATTAAAAAATTTAAAAAATCATTTAATTTTATACTTTTGTAAGTAAATCATCAAGAATAAGTAATTGGCGTGTCAATACAATGATCTGCGGATCGTATTTAGTTGGAATTGGATGTTCTGGGAAAGGAGTGTCGTTCTCTTCGTAAATAAGCTCTTTGAGATCAATAAGTCCGTCAATTCCGATTTCTTTCTCAAGAAATGCGCAAATTGCTTCTGCACGATAGAATAAACTTTCGTTTCCTTGGAAAGAAGGAATTTCGGTAACAGTATTCTTCCTCTTAATAACTGATGGACCTTTTGGTTCGCTAAAGCTGTCGTCGTCGAATGATCCTGAATTTATATCTAATGCTTGCTGCATTACTTCGTTTTTACGGGCTTGTTTGACTGGATTAACTGGTTTTGCATGGGATAATGCACTTTGTGCAACTACGGGTCTTCTGGTGGGTGAATCAGGTTGAACTAAACCATTAATTTGATTCATTTCTTCTAATTGGTTCAAAATTCTCATTTTATTGGCTTTTGCTTCTGCATGATCTCTTTCCCATATCCTCCTCCTTTCAGCTGCATCATCTGTGAGAAGTTTTTTCCTACTCTTATTTGGTGATGATTGTCTTGGAGGAATTGGATCTTCTTGAGGAAGGAATGGATTAGGTGAGTTAAATTCATCATATATTCGCTTTTTGTTGAGCTCATGCTCTTTGCGATTATACCAATAATCTCTTTTTAGATCAATTGCTGGTTCTGGTTCAATATATGTAGGTGTTGGTACAGGAGATATTTTCTTTTGCTCCGGTACGTGGTATTTCTTAACTGGATCTTGAATTCTGTAAGCATGTTTCGAATCTGGTCTTTGTTGATTAGCGCTTGGTGGCCTTTCGATCCTTGGAGAAGGATTTGAGCCGCGTGAAACTCTTTCTGCTATCCAATTCTTAATAAACTTGCGAGATAAAATTTGATTTATTGAAGGACGGGCTTTTGGATCAATTGTTAAGCAGTCTGAAACAAGTTGACGTAAGTCGCTAGAGTATTGTGAAGGGATTGGATCGTATTTGCCACAAATAATCTTCATGAGTAAGCCATTCATGTTCTGAGCATTAAATGCATGTCGTAGAGTGCATAACTCGTATAATATACATCCAAGTGACCATATATCAGTCTTAGAATTGTATTGCTGGCCTTGACAAATCTCTGGAGATAAATAATAAGGAGTTCCTATTTGAGTTTTACACATTTGAAGAGTAGAGTCTAATACTTTCGAAATTCCGAAGTCGCCTAGCTTGACATCACCTGATTTTTTAAGAAAAACGTTTTGACATTTTAGATCTCGATGAAGAATCTTACGATCATGAATATGTTTGATTGCAAGTGATAGCTGAATAAAATCGTGTAAAATTTCGTTTTCAGAAAAGTGTTTCCCTCTTTGGGCTTCGATTTTTTGTGATAAATCTCCGCCATCAGCATACTCCATGACAATATAAAGGTTGCCACGTTCATGAAAACTCTCAATATATGATACGATGTAAGGGTGTTGAAGGGTTTTCAATATTGTTACTTCTTTCAGAGCATCTTGTCTTTCTTGCTCCGTAACTCCGTATAATCTAATTTCTTTGATAACATACTTTTTGTCTGTACCTCTTTCTTGAACAAGGATAGCTTTGCCGTAGCTTCCCTCGCCTAATTCTTTAATCTGTTTGTACTTTTCCATCATTCTTCAAAATTGCCAATTTTTTGTATCAAATTGTAAAAAATTTGAATTCACCTTCTAACGTCTTGATCTATTGTTATTGTACATTATATATATAATATAATTCTTGAAAATTGGAGTGAATAATTGTCAAATGATAACGTGTTTTTTTCTACCCAGATTTGCTTTACTTTTACCACCTCTCGAAAGCTGGGGACACCGCCTATCGTTGGGAGTAGCTATTAAATAGAACCACCAAGGGCATTTTTCGAACTGCCGGTGTAGTATAGTTGAAACATCAGACATTTTGATTCATTATGCCAAGGTTTGATTCCAATTTAGCGGAATTTTTTCTTTTTTGGATCATGAATTTTTTTTTGGGTCACTATAAGATTTGTTTCATGTTCTAAATCTGCTGCATATATATCTATTTTTATTATTTAATATTTTAAAAAATCTATTGGATTGCCAAATTTGAATATATTTAAAATCATAAAAATCCAAAAAAACTATAAATATATGTTTTATGCATAGTGCTGATACTCAAATATCAGATTACTTAGATCCATGAATAATATCCGAATTTTTTTTCTTAAAATTAAACTTCAAAACTTCTTCCAATCTTATTCTTAATCAATTGTAAATTTTTAAAACCATTTTTTAAAATAATTTTGCGTAAATTTTATTCTCATGTTGTTTTAATCGAAAATTGATACATTTTCAAAAAAATAATATTGACTTATGAAATTCATTTTTAAGGTGAAATAGTATTGTTTTTATTAAAGTATATGAATAATATATAAAAAATTAATGAATAATATAAGCAGATTTTTAGTTTACAAAACAAATATGAGCAATGCAATTTCAAACTTCTGCTGGCAATTTCGATATTGCTCAAGTTTGTAGTATTTGTGATACCTATAACATCGGCTTAATCAAAATTCGATTTTTCTTATGAGTTATTGAGAAAATTTGATTGCAATGAGAAGGATTTCGACGTTTTTGATAAACTAAGAGCTGAGCTTTAGGGGTTCAGTTCATTTATGGCTGTAGTTTGATGCGTAGATCTCTTTTTTATTGTAAATTCTTTCAGCATGGAGATCGAGAATGAATCTTTTGAGAACTTTATGAGTTTTTTACACCCGTAAAGAGGTCCTTCGAGGAAAGATAGTCCAGACTACATGAAGATGTGGGTTAACCAAAAAAATCCGATGGTTTCCCCATATTCATGTAGATCTTCGAAAAAATGAGCACCAAAAAAGCCAAAAAAATAGGCTTTTTATTGGATTTGTACACTAGATCAATAACCTATTTAGGATCTGACACTCTTTTTAGCCAGAGATATGAGGTCCTTTCTAGGAAAACGATCTATTCATCCATAAAAAAAATGAATTATCGTTTTCCCCAGAAATTACATGGGGAGTGGTAAAAGTAAAGCAAATCTGGGTAAAAAAGAGATCAATCAATTTTCAATGTTAACAATAGTATTCCTTAGGTATTTCCTGCCCAATATCTTCTAGATGAACTATAAATAAATGATATATCAAGTAATTAATCAATTTTCTAAATGAATTAGAAAAATTATTGAATATTTCTTATCAATAATCCGTAAAAACAAAAAATACTACGTTTTTTAAAATAAAAATGGTAATCCGCATATTTTTTATTCTAAATAAAACAAATTTGAAATAATTATGTTAAATCTTTCTTAGTAACTGGAATTGTACAAAATGTATCACTTTCATAGTTCCTTGGAACATTAACATTTGTTGCAATTTGTTGGTAGTTAAGTGTTGCATTTGTATCTGTTACATCTTGAATTCCAGTATATGTTAAACTAATATTCTTCATCTCTCCAAATACCATATCTGTATAAGCAATGTTTTCAGATACAATTACAATTTCTGTGCTGTTGCAAAGAACGAACACATCTTTATTGATTATACAGTTTGCGCCAATAAAATGCATAGCGCCCTATTGATTCTATTGATTCAAGATAAAGATGAGTTACATTACTTTCAGTAAATGCGCTTTCTGCAATATACTTGAAATTGGAATAAAATGTAACATTTTTACACGGACATCTACAGAATGTATAACTTCCAATTCTTTCAAGTGTTTCTGGAAATGTTATGTTTGTTAAATTACTATTTGAGAATGCATATTGATAAAGAATTGTACAATTTGGCTTTATAGTCAAATTAGTCATTGCACAACCGGTAAATACATAATCATAAATTATTCTTATTGTTGAAGACATATTAAGAACCAAAAGATTACTATCTGAAAATGCATATGGATCTAATTTTTGTAAGCCTTCAGGAAGATCAAGATATATTAATGTGCTGCCCTTTAAAGCATAATAGCCAATATACCTCAATGATTGTGGTAAAATAAGTGTCGTCAAATTGGTAAATGCTAAAGAATAAGCATAAATACTCTGCATTTCATCATTGAAAACTAACTTTTTCATTGGAGTATATGCAAATGTGTAATTTTCTATAAATTGACAGTGTTTTGGCATATCTATATTTGTTAAATTAGAATAAGCAAAACAATATTCATCTATATAAGATATGTCATCTGGTAAAGAGATATTTGTAATTCCTGAATAATAAAATGCATATCGATTAATATACCTAACACTTCCAAGGAACATAAATTGTTCTTATTTTACTATATCTGAATAAACTATATGAGATAGTTGTAATTAAATCTGGAATATTAAAGTCATCTAACCATGTGCCTGCAAATGCATAATCACCATATGACCTTAGGGTTGGTGTGTATGTAATATTTCTCAAATGACTATTTTGAAAAGCGTAATCAGAGATTGAAGTGAGATTTGATGTAACATTAACGTATTCGATGCCACTATTTTCAAATGATCTATAGCCAATTGATGTCATTCTTGAAGGAAGTGTGATGTTTTGTAATTTGCTTCCTTGAAATGCATAGTTTCCGATAGATGTCATTGATTGTGGTAAGATGACTTCAGTAAAGTTTGTATAGGCTAATGCATAGTCAGATAAACTTGAAACTCCTTCTCTAATTTCCAAAAATTTTAGTGGGGTATATGCAAATGAGTAACTATAAAGATATGTTGGACCTGTGAAATTAATTTTCATTACGTTGCTGGAGTAAAAAGCACCTGTATTAAATGTTGTCACCGATGCCGGAATTGTAACATTAGTAATATTACTATTTCTGAATGCATAATCATAAACATATCTAAATCCCTCTGGTAACTCAATGGTTTCGAGTGAGCAGAATGCAAATGCATCGGCATAAATATAATACATTGTACTTGGTATAGTGATATTTCTAATATTTGAGCCCATAAATGCTTCATTATCTATTTGCCTCATACCTTCTGGGAGTATGATTTCGTCACAAGGAGTATTTTCAAATGCTCGTGAGTATATATACCTCAATGATGATGGAATTCTTATACTTAATAGAGTTGAATCTTTGAATGTTTGGGAGTTGATAGTGGAAAGCCCATCAGGAATGTAAAATGATGTTATCGATGTATTGGCAAATGCTTCACTTTCAATCGATGTGAATGTGCTGCAAACTGTTACATTCCTTAATGAAATAACATCTCTAAATGCATTTGTTGATACTGAATAAAATCCCTCTGGAAAAATTACATATTTAAGCTTTGACCTTCGAAAAGCTTCGGATCCAATTGAATATAAGTTTGGTGGAAACTCGATTTCCTCAAGATTTGTGTTGATAAATGCCTGATTTTCAATATATCTACATGTTACTGGTAATTTTATTTTGATTAGAGCAGAATTCATAAATGTTTCGGCTCTTACTATTGTTATTCCTTCTGGTAATTCAATCTTTCTAATATGACTACCTTTGAATGCACCTGAACCTATATCAATAGAATGGTTGAAATATAACAATTTAGCTATTGGACTTGATGCAAAAGCATAATTTCCAATTGAAGTCAACGTTGATGGAATTCTGACAAAAACAATATTACTATTTGCAAATGCATATTCTCCAATGGTTGTCATACCTTCAGGTAATTTAATAGACTCAAGAGAACTGCTAGCAAATACATATGTTCCGAATGTTGTTCTGTTTGTTACTCCAATGTATTTGATAGATGTTGAGCCAAATGAATATGAGCCGAGGGTTGTTACTGAATAAGGTATAGTTATACTAGGGAAAGAGCATCCATAAAAAGCATATGAATTGATATATTGGTTTCCTTCACTTAATGTTAAATTTGAGATACCTGTATGATAAAATGAATAACTTCCGATTGTATTGATATTTGAATGAATTATTACATTTCTTATACTAAATCCAGAATAATATGATGAAGAATATCTATATTTAAATAAACTATCAATAACTGTTCTAGTATTATTTGTAAATACCAGATCTGTTATTGAACCTGATACGAAAGTTGAATAACTTGTACTACTAATATATGGGAATTGAACATATTTCATTCTAGCACCACAGAATCCGCTATCTGATATAGATATTGTTCCTCCAGAAAATATTAAGCAATCAATAGTTGCGGAATAAAATCCGTATGAATAAATACTAGATACAGTTGCTGGAAAAGAGATATTTGTTATTACATTTGAATAAAAACAATAGGATCCAATTGTTCGTAGATTTGTGTCATTGAAATTAACATTAGTAAGTGTGGAAGAATAGAAACAATACTCACTTAATGATGTTACAGATCCATTAAAATATACATTAGATATTGTTGAATATGAAAAAGCATAAGAGTTCAATGATGATATGCCATTACATATGATTAGGTTTTCTAGTTTCCGACAGTTTTGAATGCAATATCCACCGATTGATGCAACAGTTTCATTAAATATAACATTTTTAAGGGAAGTGCAATCACAAAATGCATATGAACCGATTCGCATTCCGGATATTGTAAAAATGGCATCTGTAAGTTTTGTACAATCAGAAAATGCATACGATCCGATTGTTTTCAGTGAATCTGGGAAAGAAATGTTAGAAAATTGAGCATAGTAAAAGCAGTAATCTCCAATACTGGTTAATCCTTCATTTAACTCAACTGACACTAATTTTGATATCTGTGCAAAAGCATAGTTTCCAATAGATATGATTGTGCTTGGCAAAACTAAACTTGTTATTGAATTAGAATAGAAAGCATAGTCTTTGATATATTTAACTCCTTCATCCATTGTTAAATTTTTTAATTCTGAACTGTAAAATGAATAGCTTCCAACTGTTTGTACATTACTTGGAATTATGAGATTTGAAACTGAGCCATAATTGTAAAAAGATTATCATATGTTGATGTTGCGTCTTTCGTAAAAGTTACCGTAATAAATTGGGCATAGTAAAACGAAGAAGAATACAAATTATTAATATTAGGGAATTCAATGTAATTAATTTTTGCATAGTAAAACACGTAGTCACGTAATGATATTGATCCTCCAGCGAATATCAAATCGCCAACAACTGCATAATAAAAAGCTTCATAGTACACATATGAAATTGTTCTAGGAAGATACAAACTATTTATCTTACTTTGATAAAAACAATACGAGGAGATTGCTTGAAAACTGCTTTCATTCAAGTTTACATCACCAAGAATTGAGTATGCAAAGGCATAATCGTTCATTGATGATATTGTTCCACCAATGTAGACATGTGATACGTTTGCTGACTTAAATATGTATGAATTAATAGTGGAGCTTCCATTTGCGATGGAGAAATTTTGCACTTTTTTGCAACTCTGAAATGCATAGCTTCCAACTGTAACAACAGATGAAGAGAATATAACTTCAGTAAGATTCTGACAATTATTAAATGCATAGCTTCCGATAGTTGTGACTGAAGATGAGAATGTAACTTTGTTTAGATAACTGCAGCCACTGAATGCAGATTCTCCGATCTTGACATTCGCTGCAGAGAAAGTTGCACTTGGAATTTTTGAACAACCATAGAACGTTTGGCTTCCTACTGTGCTGAGACTTGTTGGGAAGTTAAAACTTGACAAACTCGAGAGGCCATAGAAAGCGCTATCACTTATTGTCTGGACTGTATTTGGGAGTTGTACACTTCCAAGTTGGTTACAATTCTGAAAGCAATATGATCCTATTGATGTAAGAGTATCTAATACTATTACGGTTCTAAGATTCGAACATGAATAAAAAGATTGATAGCCAAAGGTAGTAACATTAGTTATTGAAAGATCTTGAACTGTTGAATCATATCGAAATTGGTAATTTGAAACATAGCCATCTCTTATTGAGTAGCTTGAACCGGTTTTCGTTACAGTAGCGCTCATTTTGAAGTTAAAAAATTATCATGTAAAGTTTTGAAAAAATTTGGTTTATAAATTATATATGTTTACATATTAGTTAAGTAATATTATCAATAACTTTTGACAATAAATTGAAATTGTTAAGTATGAAAAAAAAACTACAACAAGTAATTAAAATAATTATATATGAAATGTATATTATTAAAAAAATATAGTTATCAATAAATTTGCATTCAAATCTTATTTTTTTAAATACTATTGAACGCTTTTAATGAAATTGAACTTGTATTATATATCTAGATGTAAATGCACGAGTGATATTTTGAGATGAATGAAATCGAGAAAATGAGAGTTTCAAATTTCAGAAATGTGACGGTTTTTTTTCCTAAAATATATGAAGATCGTATATTTATTGTACCCAGATTTTCCTTACTTTTACCACTCCCCATGTAATTTCTGGGGAAAACGATAATTCATTTTTTTTATGGATGAATAGATCGTTTTCCTAGAAAGGACCTCATATCTCTGGCTAAAAAGAGTGTCAGATCCTAAATAGGTTATTGATCTAGTGTACAAATCCAATAAAAAGCCTATTTTTTGGCTTTTTTGGTGCTCATTTTTTCGAAGATCTACATGAATATGGGGAAACCATCGGATTTTTTTGGTTAACCCACATCTTCATGTAGTCTGGACTATCTTTCCTCGAAGGACCTCTTTACGGGTGTAAAAACTCATAAAGTTCTCAAAAGATTCATTCTAGATCTCCATGCTGAAAGAATTTACAATAAAAAAGAGATCTACGCATCAAACTACAGCCATAAATGAACTGAACCCCTAAAGCTCAGCTCTTAGTTTATCAAAAACGTCGAAATCCTTCTCATTGCAATCAAATTTTCTCAATAACTCATAAGAAAAATCGAATTTTGATTAAGCCGATGTTATAGGTATCACAAATACTACAAACTTGAGCAATATCGAAATTGCCAGCAAAAGTTTGAAATTGCATTGCTCATATTTGTTTTGTAAACTAAAAATCTGCTTATATTATTCATTAATTTTTTATATATTATTCATATACTTTAATAAAAACAATACTATTTCACCTTAAAAATGAATTTCATAAGTCAATATTATTTTTTTGAAAATGTATCAATTTTCGATTAAAACAACATGAGAATAAAATTTACGCAAAATTATTTTAAAAAATGGTTTTAAAAATTTACAATTGATTAAGAATAAGATTGCAAGAAGTTTTGAAGTTTAATTTTAAGAAAAAAAATTCGGATATTATTCATGGATCTAAGTGATCTGATATTTGAGTATCGGCACTATGCATAAAACATATATTTATAGTTTTTGGATTTTTATGATTTTAAATATATTCAAATTTGGCAATCCAATAGATTTTTAAAAAATAGGTAAATAAAAATAGATTACATATGCAGCAGATTTAGAACATGAAACAAATCTTATAGTGACCCAAAAAAAAATTCATGATCCAAAAAAGAAAAAAATAGCTAAATGGGAATAAAACCTTGGCATAATGAATCATTATGTCAGATGTTTCCACTACACTACACCGGCAGTTCGAAAAATGCCCTTGGTGGTTCTATTTAATAGCTACTCCCAACGATAGGCGGTGTCCCCAGCTTTAGAGGGGTGGTAAAAGTAAGGAAAATCTGGGTAGTTTTTTTAAATGAAAATAACTATTTCGATCATTATCGAACCACATTTTTTAGTATAGTTATAACATATAAGTTAATGTGTTAAAGAATATATTTATCAAGTTCTTATCATCAAAAATCATATTGAGTCTGCTTTTATTCAAAAAAAGCAATAGCTTTTCAAAATTTCAATTATTTAAGGTTTTCGAATAGACAGATTCAATTTGATTTTTCAAGTTTTAAACTTGATAGTTAGATTGTATTATACATTACATGATATAATGTATCATTTCAAAAAAATATATATATGGTTCGTTACGCATCGAAACTTTGCCACTTGAAATTAAAATTAATCCCATGTGAATTAAATTAATCGTTATCATAGTTCAAAAAAAATGAAATCAAAATTGTCACAATTATGAAAATTGAAAACACTTAATTCAAATTCATGATTATTATCCATTCCATAAAAAGTGCTTTTCTCCTAATTGATTTAATTCTTTAAAGGTAAATAAATTGAAATTTAAAAAGTTAAGTGTTACCATGAATTATTATTATCTTATTCTTAATTATTATTAAACAATAATATTCGATTACGTTATTTTCAATACTTTACACATAATTTCAGATTATTTATTAACTTAAAAAATGAGTGCCACTGTAACAAAAACTGGTACAACCTACTCGATAAGTAATGGCTATGTTTCTGATTACCAATTCGATTATGATTACACTGTTCAGGAAGTTTCAATGACGAACGTAAGATCACTAGGGTATAGATCTTTTTATTACTGCACATCTCTTAGAACCGTAATAGTATTAGATACTCTTACATCAATAGGATCATATTGCTTTCAGAATTGTAACCAACTTGGAAGTGTACAACTCCCAAATACAGTCCAGACAATAAGTGATAGCGCTTTCTATGGCCTCTCGAGTTTGTCAAGTTTTAACTTCCCAACAAGTCTCAGCACAGTAGGAAGCCAAACGTTCTATGGTTGTTCAAAAATTCCAAGTGCAACTTTCTCTGCAGCGAATGTCAAGATCGGAGAATCTGCATTCAGTGGCTGCAGTTATCTAAACAAAGTTACATTCTCATCTTCAGTCACAACTATCGGAAGCTATGCATTTAATAATTGTCAGAATCTTACTGAAGTTATATTCTCTTCATCTGTTGTTACAGTTGGAAGCTATGCATTTCAGAGTTGCAATCATCTTCTTCAAGTAATATTCTCATCATCTATTGGTACGCTAGGAAGCTATGCTTTCCAATACTGCAGCAGAATAGAAAATTTTTCAATCAAAAGTGGATGTTCAACCATGAATTCATACATTTTTAATTCAGCAAACATATTAAACCTACACATTAAAGGATCAATATCATCATTTGGCGATTATCCTTTCAGAAATGGTATTTATGGTGATATAAACATGTTAGATTGTAGCATAACATCTCTTCCAAGTTATTGTTTTTATGAATGTAAGATAAAGAGTTTATATCTTTCTAGAGCAATTACATCTCTCGGTTATGAATCATTTTACTATGCAGTAGTTGGTGATTTAATATTTGCTGGAGGATCAATATCCTTAAGTGATTATGTCTTTTACTCTGCAAAAATAAATTACGCTGTTTTTCCAAATATCAGGAGCTTTGGTTCATATGATTTCGATTCGGCAACTATCACCACAATTGATAACATATTTAGAGGAACCAATTATTATTATAGTTATGCAAATTCTCGCTATCAAAAAATGTATTATTCACCCAAGATATCTAATTTAACAATTCCAGGTACAGTAAAATCAATTGGTAATTCTTCTTTTCATTTGACCAAATTATCAAAATTAATTATTAATGAAGGTGTTCAAACCATTAATGATTATGCATTTTATTTATGCGAAATTAATTATTTGGTATTGCCATCTACTATTAAATATATTGGTAAATTTGCTTTAACAAATCTTGGAGTTTTACCTAATATTACTCTTTAATTTTGATAAATAATTTAAATTTCAAAATATCAAGTTCAGTTCGACTATGTATGTAGTAATTCCTCAATAAAGTGCCAAAACCCTATTAAAATATATGAACATTTTCAACATTTTAATGTTTTTATTTAAAAATTTGTTGGAATATGAGCTTCAAACAATTATTATGTAAATAAAAATAATTAAATATATGTATTTATTCGTATTACAACCGTAGTAAGTCGATTCTTCCTTTCTTCTACTGAGTTTTGAATTTGATTTCGAATTGTAAAGAGATTCAAAGGGAAAATACTAGCGGATAAAAACTACCTCCATGAAAGGGTCATAATGGAGTCAAGTTGTATTTTTTGATATTTTTTGCTTTTCGAGCCTAAATAGGTAGCCAAGATAATGCCTAAAAATAAGGTTCTAAATTTTGAAGTTTACATGATCCTCTCGTGTGCACCCTTAACCTCTCTAAGAATATTCAATCAATTGGCACAATGTGTTTCTTCTATTCATTAATTTATGAAATCTCAATTCCTGATAATGTAACTGTAATTGAAATTCAGACATTTATGTATTGCAGTTTATTATCTCATGTTAAGTTGTCAAAGAATCTGTCATATATAAAAGAGAAAAGTTTTGCATATACAAATCTACAAGAAATTGATTTTCCAGATTCTTTAATTGAGCTCGGAACTTTCTCATTTATGTATACACCAATTAAAAAATACGTATTTAAAGAAGGATTTGTTAAATTTTATAATCAATCACTAGCTTTCACTAATGCTACAATTGTTGAAGTACCATCAACTCTTAGGTTTATTGGCTATGATGTTTTCCAAGAGAACAATGTCACAAGATTAATCATTCCAGAGGGACTTGAAGTATTGCAACATCGAGCGTTTGAATTCTCAAAAATTGAATACTTCGAATTTCCATCATCAATTAAGACTGTTGAATCATTTTCATTCAGATATAACTGTGCAAATGATCTAATATTCAAAGAAGGATTGCAATATATAAATAGCTGTGCATTTTTTGAGTCCAATTTCACGAATGTCAAGCTTCCAAGTACATTGAAATCAATTGGATCATATTCATTTTATAGGTGTCCCATACAAAATATTGAAGTGCCCCAAAATGCACAAATTGATAATATTGGTAGCTATGCTTTCACACTTTTGATGCATCCCAATTTTTCATTTCCAAATGGAACAAAACAGATTTCGAAGTTCGGATTTTATGGTTGTGTAATTAATAATTTAGAAATTCCTGTTACATTGACCAGAATGGACAACTGGAGTTTTGTCGAAATAACTTGCGAAAACTTAGTTTTTCAACCTGGTTATAATTTAGTTCCTGAATGTACATTTCCATTTTCAGATATCCAAAACTACACATTCCCTAAAACTTTAAGGAACTTTTCTAGATATTCATTCACATCTACTGCAGTGAAAGAATTAGAGATCTTTGACAATACATATATTGGTGAGGCAGCTTTTGAAGATTGCAGAAAGATCTTTAACATATCAATCCAAACTGATACCAACATTGGTAAATGGGCATTTAGTAATTGCAATGCAACACTTAATATTACAACATATGGAGATTTTATTGCTGATGAAACTTCTTTCATAAATGTAACAAATGTTACAATTGTTCATTATGGACCTCATGATATTTATGTTGCTTCAACTCGAGAAGGACTGCGCACTGTTCCAAAAATTGTTTACGTCATGTGTTGCTACAGATCAAAGTACTATGCTAGTATGAAACCAAATAACTTTACAGAATGTAGTCCTGCATTGTCATGTATCTCAAATCGTCATGATTTCTATCCTGTCCGTTATTATGGAATAACAGCACTTTATTTAGGCCTCAATTAACTCTAGTGAGATAACCTTTTTTATGAGTTTCGAATTTTTAGATGATAAAAAAAATCATTGCACAAAATTGTTAGGTGACAAATTTATGTGATGAATTTTTATGATTTGTGTCAGATGGATTTAAATATATTTTACGAATATTGAGCAAATAATTATATTTTAAAAAAATTTTAAGAAAGATTTTTTAATATTAACTTTAGTCTTTCTTAGTAATTGGGATTGTACAAAATGTATCATTTTCATAATTTTGTGGAACATTAACATTTGTTGCGATTTGTTGGTAATTAAGTGTTGCATTTGTATCTGTTACGTCTTGAACTCCAGTGTATGTAAGACTCACATTCTTCATCCCTAAAAATACCATATCTGTATATGTAATATTTTCTGATACAATAATGTTTTCTGTATTGTTGCAAAGAATGAATGCATCTTTATTAATTATACAATTTGCACCAATAGTGATATTCTTAAGTTTTTCACAATTTTTGAATGCATTATTAGAAACATTACATCCGGCAGGAATCGAAATTTCATTCATCCATGACCACATGAATGCATATCTTCCAATACTTTTGAGAGTCGATGGAAGAGTTACATGAACAAAATCATTTAATGAGAAATAAAATTCGGGGATTTCGGTGATACCTTCTCTTATTATAAGATTTTTAACTTGACAACCAGCAAATGTCCAATTTACTATATTTTTCAATGTACTCGGTATCGATAAAGTATTCATTTGAGTCTCTCGAAATGCAAATCTTGCAATATTCTCTGTGCCATGAGGAAGAATAATCTCATCAATATCGCAATATGAAAATGCATATCGTTTTATAGACAAATTTGCAGATTCTGGAAATTGAACGACATGTATTGATGAATTGTAAAATGCTTCCTCTTCAATTAATTCTATTGAATGGAGATATAGATACTTAACACTACTATTTGTTAATGCATTTTTATTAATGATTTTGAATTTTGAATAAAAAGTAATATTTTCACATGGACATCCAACAAATACAAGTGATCCTATGCTGACAAGTGAATCTGGAAATGTTATATTTCTTAAATTACTATTGGCAAATGCATTATTTGAAATTGTTGTACAATAATTAATAATTGTCAAATTAGTCATTGCACAATGTGAAAAAGCATATTCATTAATTGTTTCAATTGTTGATGACATATTGAGAATCAAAACGTTACTATTTGCAAATGCATAAGTATGTTGCTACACACAGTTCCTAAAGTATTTAATGTCATGTGTTTCTACTTATCAAAGTATTATGCAAGAACAATACCATGTAACTACTCAGACTGTAGTTTCGTGGTGTCATATTTATCAAATTGTCTTGATTTCTATCCGGTACGCCATCATGGAATTACTGCGCTTTATTTAGGTCTCTATTAAAATATTAAATTTTTATTAAGTAAATTTTGATATTTTCATTTCATAATTATTTACCCTGTGTTCGCATAAATTCTCGTATATGGTTGTTTTTCCAAACATATAAAAATCATAGAGAAACTGTTCTGTAAACGAAAACTTTGATTAATTACTAAACTTCCAAAATTTTATTAAAACAAAGGAGATTATATGAATGAAGGTGAAATTGCTGGTATTGTTATCACTAATATAACTGATATTACAATTATTATAGTAAGTTTCTTCGTTTTCAAGAAGAAAATTGGTTCGAGTGCTAAAGAACTAGAATTAAGTGATGAATCAATAAAAAATATTATAATCATTACCTTATGAATAAAAAAAGTTACTAATTAACTTAACTAAATTGTCTTATAAAACTTTCTAAAAAAATTAGTTATAGTCGTTCTTTTTGCCTTTGCCTTTCAAAAATTGAAAAGTTTACATAGAAAGAATTCACTCGAAAAGCTTTATATCTTATAGTAAAGTTCAATTAGATATGATAGCAGTCTTAACTCTTGTCTCATTCAATTTCTTTATCATCTTTTTGGTTAAATTTTGAACTGAGAAAACTTCCAAAAAATGTCACTTTTTAAAAATGGATAAAATAAATTACTCTTTTTGTTATGATGGAGACGATTTTACGGTAAATGTGGAAAAGCAAACACTATCTGGATGTGCATGGCTTCCACCAGATGGAAATCCACAATATATTGTCGTTTTCATTCATGATATTGGCTCGTTTGTTACTCACAATCATGATGTTTTTGATGTTATTACAGCTAATAGAGGTGCTGTTTATGCATGTGATCATCTTGGTCATGGACGCTCCCCAGGCCCAAGATTAGGATGCAAAATTCAAGATATTATTAAAGAAATAGGAGCAGTAATTCATTTTGCATCCACTCAACATCCAAATACGCTTATTTATTTGTATGGACAAGGTGCAGGTGCTTTAGCAATTATGAAATTTGTTTTGGATAAGCCAACGAACGCAGATTCCATCTCAGGAATATTACTTGAATCTCCGTGGTTAACACCCTGGTCTCAAAATAGAATTGGCCTTGCAAAAACGTGCTTTTATCAATTATTAGATCACATATCTCCCTATAATATTCTAGACACAGGATTTACAAGGTATTCAGAGAACACAGACCCAAACTACGTTGAAATTTCCGAGAAATGCCCATTGTATTTGCCATATATCACTCCACATTTATATCTTTCAGCGATGAAAGCCATTACAAATGTTCGCAATAAGATCGAGAGACTTCCCTCAACTATACACATCATGATGTGCATTGGCCAATACGATACAGTGTTCGATCCATTGGAATTGAAAGAAATTATGTCTTACATGAAGTCAACACTCAAAAATTTTGAAGGAAAGACATACAATTGCGGACATCTCATTACAAAAGAAAACGAACGCTCATTATTTTTAGATAATGCGATCGATTTCTTCACCGTAACAAAGAAAAAGCGCTATTCAGGAGCTAATTAATATTTTTAAATACATTGTTTTGTTATTTTTTAAGAATCGTATAAAATTTTTTTTTTATTATCTCCTATTTTGAAATGAAATCATTAAAAAGTATATTTGTCATGAAAATGGTTAATGAAAATAAACAGGAAAGTTTTAATATTAACAATTACAAGAAGATTCTTTCTTCTTAGGTTGGGCGACTTTAATAGGTAATGCTGGAGATGATTCAAGTTTCGAAATGTCCGTATTTTCTAAGATTTTCTTCGCAACAGCTTCGAATAAATTTATAATGTTAATGTTTTCTTTTGCTGATGTCTTAATAAATGAGTAGCCGTGTGACTGTGCAAATTCGACTGCTTTCTGCTCTAAATCTGGAGAGTTAATATCGAATTTATTAAAAACAACAAAATTAACTTTTGTTTCTGGTTGATTTGTTATTACAACCTCTCTCCATTCATTAAGCTTGTCAATACTTTCTGGAGAATCTGCAGAGCAAACAAATATCACAGCTAAGCTTCCTCTTAAATACATGGGAATAATACTTCTGAAACGCTCTTGCCCTGCTGTATCCCATACATGCAATGCAAGCTTTTTGTTATCTACCTCAACAATTTTCGTGATGTAACATGCGCCAATTGTTGGAGTTCCCGCCTCATCATACTGATCACGCGAAAATTTATAAACAATTGATGTTTTACCAACTGAACTTTCGCCCATCATGATAACCTTTGCAGGCGGAATTCCTTGCTCAGTCATATTTTTTGACAGAAAAGGCGTCACTTTTGTTACACATAATCAAAATTTAATTAACTTAATAATACATTAAATAATTTGTTTGATTTTGTGTATTAAAATTTTTAAAATATTTCCGTTCCAATATCAAATTATCTTCAAATTTTGAAAGTATGCGGAATGATTAAAAATAAATATCTTCGTTTTTTATGTCACTTTTATAGCATAAATGGAATTTCCAGAATTGAACAATGAAGAGCAACCAGATGAAGAAGAACAGACATTAACGATCGAGCCAGAGCTATATGATATGTATGAGTATAAAGTTGATGATAGAGAAGATATGCTTTGTGTTGAATTCCCAATTCCAAAATCAGTTGATCCATCAACAATCTCAGCTAAATTAAATGATCAGAAAAATGCAATTGCAGTCGAAATTCCTGGAAAAGTTCCAATTTTCAAAGGAAAACTTCTCGATACAGTTGAACAACTTCATACGCAAATCATTGACGGACATTTTGTCATTATTCTTACTAAAAGACAAAAAGGTATTTGGGAAGTTTACATTGATGATGTTTATCCAGGAACAGAAGAAATGGATCCACAAAGCCTTTTGATTTTAGGCACAATGCCTAGTTCAATCCAAGAGGAAGTTATGAAATCATACAGTTACTTGCTCAAATCAGCCTCTCATAACTTTGTTCCTGCAATGTGCCATTTAGCTAACTTTATCATGAAAATCAACCAAGGATATATGGCCGAATTTGAAGCCGAAAGACTTCTTATGACAGCCGTCCATGAATACAAATCACCAATGGCTATGGTAAATTTGGCCGATTATTATTTAAGAAAGAAAGACAGGCCAATGCTCGCACTTAAATACTTAGAAGATGCAATCTCAAAAGACTACGAATTAGCCCATTTAGTTTACGGTTTAGCCTTATCTCCAATATCTGATTACCGTGGCGTTAAAAAGAATGCTAAGATGGCAATCGAGCATTTGGAGAAGCTCAAAGATAATGCAGACGCTTTACATCATATTGCTATGCTTTATTTCAATGGACGTGGAAATAAAAGGAATTTACCAAAGGCAAACGAATACCAGCAGAAGGCAAGAAAGTTAAACAAATACGTGGCTCCACTCAGCATCGTAGAGACTTCTATGGAGAGAAAGACCATGTATGCAATTATACTCATTGTATTGGCTATAGCTCTTGGTGTTGGACTTAACGAATTACTTAAGCGATATAATCTTCTTTAACTTGTAGGTTTTATCTTAAAATACAAAAATATTAAAAGTTTTTTACTGTTTTTTTAATTTCCTTTAATTAGTAAGCGTTATTTACCTGAGAGAAGCAGTCATTATTGATAGAACAATGATGATTGACTAAATTTGCAATTCAATATTAGGTTCTTTCTTCAATTTTTTGATGTTTCTCATCTCAAAAATGATAGAAATGTAAAAAATGAGATGCAAACTATGATAATATTACTGAATCGGTTAAGTTAATGGGTATTATTACCTCGATAAAGCCTTTAAAAGGAATGTTTATATCATCAAGTGTTGTTTTTACATTAGTAAAGCTGATTTATTCTAATAAACGGTCAATGATGTTGTATATTTCGATTTTATGCAAATATGAGTATTGTGTGTTTGTAATTGGCATTTCTTTGTAAAACTAATAATATGCTTGCATATCTAATTATGATTTTCCACACAGTGAATAAGATGAAATTTGATACCCTCAATTTTTGACTTTTGCAACTTTTTCATGACCCCCTGCCCAGGTATCTAAAATACCATTTATCGCCTTAAAAGCACCCTTAATTTATGCCAATTGACAAAATAAAGATATGTTTAGAATGCTGATATGATGGAGAATCATGCTGCATCATTATTGGCCAGCAATATATAATATTTAAGAAATCTACGAGATTATCTGATTTCATGAAACTCAATGTATACTAAGTTTCAGACTTTGAAATTTTAACATGTTGATATGGGTACATAGGGTTTATGATTCCAGTCATTTATTTAAAAAATTACAAAAATGAATTAATATGATGTGAGTAACAATGATAATAAACGCTTAATTACTAATATATTATTTTTTGGTAGGAATGAAATGTTTTGGTGACATTTATAGAAGTTAAGCTGAGAATCAAAAATGCAAAAATAATTTTAAATATTAGAAGCATTATTTGATGTCATTGAGTTTAGAGTCGTGTAGCTATATGAGTACAATATGTTATTGATGTATATATGCAATAATTGTGAAAATGAAATGTGAATCTAAAGATGAGTTGCATAATACTGCGTCATAATTTGAATTCAATATGTACATAACATTACTAAATGTATTTTAAGATAATACAAAAAATTAAGCTTGCAAAAAGATATCGAAATGTAATTTTCATTAGATTCAAAGATCTGCATAGATTTCGATTTTAACTATTGATGAATTTGTCAAACCTCTATAATAATAGAATGTAGAACTAATTAAATATAATTAAAATAAAAAAATACAAATTAAAGTGATATTATAAGAGATATATGTGATGTTACCAATATGACATGATATTGGAGAACTGAGAGAATTGTGATGTGAGACTAAATATGATTTTATTATGAATAGGAGAATAATTTTAGAAGAATTTCTTGAATTTAATATATCTGAATATGTAATTCGGCATATATTATATATATATATTGGTATATTAACTAGAAATAAGAATAGGAAAGATTGTTAATGAATAATATGAGATTAAGCGAAAATATATTGTTCTAATAGATGAGTGTGGAGATTCAATATATGTGAAGAGGGATATGTGAGAGGAAATATGTAAATTTAATAAAATATGCGATGAGAGAAAAAATAACAATGATTTATATGAAATATATGAGTATTGAAAAAGCCTGATTAGTGATTTCATGTCTGTAAAAGGAATAGGTATTCTATGAGAAAGATGAAACGAATTAAAGAAGTATAAAAAAAATTTAATTAAGATTGAAAAAAAAATTGGAGTTTATGCAAATTTAAATAAGAAATATATTGCTTTTGGCATGAAGATGTCATTCTGGGAGATATTGCCTCTGCATGTATCCCAGAATGGAACAATCTTTTGCAATCAGAATGTGATTGCAAAACTTTGACCGACAAGAGTGTATTGTGCACTCTTGTCGGTCGCAGTGTCTCATTCTGGGAGACATTGCCTCTGCATGTATCCCAGAATGGAACAATCTTTTGCAATCAGAATGTGATTGCAAAACTTTGACCGACAAGAGTGTATTGTGCACTCTTGTCGGTCGCAGTGTCTCATTCTGGGAGACATTGCCTCTGCATGTATCCCAGAATGGAACAATCTTTTGCAATCAGAATGTGATTGCAAAACTTTGACCGACAAGAGTGTATTGTGCATCCACTTTGTCAATTAACTATGTTTTATAGAGACATCCCCTCACACATATTTTTTCTAATATAATTTTACCTTTTTAATATTTATTTTTTATTTTTTGTGCTTTATATAACTTATGGTGTGTACCGAACTATCTTACAGACTCTACTGAGCTATTTCCACATATAAACATGTGACAATAACGCATACATACTCCCTTCGTATTCTGATCTCCTGACATATTATCGCAAAAACTATATTTACAACACACCTCATAAAGTCTCATTTTACCCCTATCTAAGCGTTCAAAACCTATTTTCCCCGCGTAATCTGATTCTTCAGGCTCCGCTGATTCGATTTCTGCTGTCAGATCGTGAAAATATGCATCACATAACAAGATAAACCCAAATTACTTAACTTAATATTTTCCTTAAAATTTCCTATTCCTCGCTATGGGAATATTTATTATATCTTCCGTTTCCCCTCACAAATATATTTAATTTTCTGAATAATACGTATAATAAAATGAATAACTCAAAAACTAAAATACAATATTAATATTGGGTAATGACTCGATATGATCAAAACTTTTGAATTCATACATTTTTTGAAAAATTTGGATTTTTCAAAAATGATTTTGTTTGAGCATGAACGAGGTTTATCTTGTTATGTGATGCATATTTTCACGATCTGACAGCAGAAATCGAATCAGCGGAGCCTGAAGAATCAGATTACGCGGGGAAAATAGGTTTTGAACGCTTAGATAGGGCTAAAATGAGACTTTATGAGGTGTGTTGTGTAAATATAGTTTTTGCGATAATATGTCATGAGATCAGAATACGAAGGGAGTATGTATGCGTTATTGTCACATGTTTATATGTGGAAATAGCTCAGTAGAGTCTGTAAGATAGTTCGGTACACACCATAAGTTATATAAAGCACAAAAAATAAAAAATAAATATTAAAAAGGTAAAATTATATTAGAAAAAATATGTGTGAGGGGATGTCTCTATAAAACATAGTTAATTGACAAAAGTGGATGCACAATACACTCTTGTCGGTCAAAGTTCCACATTCAAGTTATGAATGCGGAACTTTCTATCATTCTGGGAGACATGCAGAGGCAATGTCTCCCAGAATGAGACACTGCGACCGACAAGAGTGCACAATACACTCTTGTCGGTCAAAGTTTTGCAATCACATTCTGATTGCAAAAGATTGTTCCATTCTGGGATACATGCAGAGGCAATGTCTCCCAGAATGAGACACTGCGACCGACAAGAGTGCACAATACACTCTTGTCGGTCAAAGTTTTGCAATCACATTCTGATTGCAAAAGATTGTTCCATTCTGGGATACATGCAGAGGCAATGTCTCCCAGAATGAGACACTGCGACCGACAAGAGTGCACAATACACTCTTGTCGGTCAAAGTTTTGCAATCACATTCTGATTGCAAAAGATTGTTCCATTCTGGGATACATGCAGAGGCAATATCTCCCAGAATGACATCTTCATGCCAAAAGCAATATATTTCTTATTTAAATTTGCATAAACTCCAATTTTTTTTTCAATCTTAATTAAATTTTTTTTATACTTCTTTAATTCGTTTCATCTTTCTCATAGAATACCTATTCCTTTTACAGACATGAAATCACTAATCAGGCTTTTTCAATACTCATATATTTCATATAAATCATTGTTATTTTTTCTCTCATCGCATATTTTATTAAATTTACATATTTCCTCTCACATATCCCTCTTCACATATATTGAATCTCCACACTCATCTATTAGAACAATATATTTTCGCTTAATCTCATATTATTCATTAACAATCTTTCCTATTCTTATTTCTAGTTAATATACCAATATATATATATAGAATATATGCCGAATTACATATTCAGATATATTAAATTCAAGAATTCTTCTAAAATTATTCTCCTATTCATAATAAAATCATATTTAGTTCACATCACAATTCTCTCAGTTCTCCAATATCATGTCATATTGGTAACATCACATATATTCTCTATAATATCACTTTAATTTGTATTTTTTTATTTTAATTATATTTAATTAGTTCTACATTCTATTATTATAGAGGTTTGACAAATTCATCAATAGTTAAAATCGAAATCTATGCAGATCTTTGAATCTAATGAAAATTACATTTCGATATCTTTTTGCAAGCTTAATTTTTTGTATTATCTTAAAATACATTTAGTAATGTTATGTACATATTGAATTCAAATTATGACGCAGTATTATGCAACTCATCTTTAGATTCACATTTCATTTTCACAATTATTGCATATATACATCAATAACATATTGTACTCATATAGCTACACGACTCTAAACTCAATGACATCAAATAATGCTTCTAATATTTAAAATTATTTTTGCATTTTTGATTCTCAGCTTAACTTCTATAAATGTCACCAAAACATTTCATTCCTACCAAAAAATAATATATTAGTAATTAAGCGTTTATTATCATTGTTACTCACATCATATTAATTCATTTTTGTAATTTTTTAAATAAATGACTGGAATCATAAACCCTATGTACCCATATCAACATGTTAAAATTTCAAAGTCTGAAACTTAGTATACATTGAGTTTCATGAAATCAGATAATCTCGTAGATTTCTTAAATATTATATATTGCTGGCCAATAATGATGCAGCATGATTCTCCATCATATCAGCATTCTAAACATATCTTTATTTTGTCAATTGGCATAAATTAAGGGTGCTTTTAAGGCGATAAATGGTATTTTAGATACCTGGGCAGGGGGTCATGAAAAAGTTGCAAAAGTCAAAAATTGAGGGTAATTCAAAAGCGAAAGAACTATCAT